GTGTGTGTGTGTGTGTGTGTGTGTGTGTGTGTGTGTGTGTGTGTGTGTGTGTGTTAACATTAGCTGCTCACGCTTAGCATGCAACAATTCAAGTTTATAATATGCAGGGTGAATTGAGGTCATGCATTCAAGCCTTCATGCAGGAGATATTGCCGTGTTGTTGTTTATGGTTTTCGTCTACTTAGCCTGTGTTTGTGCATCGTGTGGTGATATTCCAACATTTGCATGCGGATCACAGAGTATCAAACATTCAGAGCTCTCTCAGTCTACTCTTTCAGGTATTTTTTTATACAAGGCTGGATCTGAAATGATTTCTACATTCTAAATGTATGTCTCTCTGAGCGGTCAGCCGGGTGACTAACACGTTAAATTGCCATTAAATTACCTTAAAGGGGTGCATGTCTGAAAACAGCTTTATTTAGACAGCTGTTTCCAATAAATAAGCCAAGAAGTCCGACACCGAGAACCCAAATTAAGGAGTGGCTGGTGAAAAGTTGAGCATTCTGTTTGTTTTGGAGCTTCTCTGCCTCCTACAAGTTAATATCATTTCACACAGCTTTAAGACTCTCCCATGATAGTGTGTGATGATAAAATGGCTTTACAGAACCCCTTTGGCAATACAACCCTACACATGGCTCAAAACTAAGAGCCTAACGTTTTCATGTAGGTGCAGCCATTTAAGATTTTGGGTCATTTTATTTGACCAAAAAACGATCAATGGTTCTCTTCATTTTGAATTACTGCTTTGTTTTAAGGTTGCGATATTGCTCGAGGAGGAGTACAAGCACGCCTTATTTTTATTCTCCAACATCTCATTCAGCAGCGAAAAATACTAATGTCAGAGCCAATCAGAGGCAGAGTAGAGGACGGGTCTCTGCAGAATATAGGCGGGGTAAAATAATAACGCTACGCTACACCCACTCACGTAGACAGACTTGCTAAAGGTCAGGCTCACCGGTGCAACCAATGAAAATGTTTGGTCGCATTCTGGGGCCATGCTACTCAAGTATAACTCGCATTTCCTGCCAATAACGAGGGTGATTTACTGCCTTCCTCCTGCTCTGACGTTCCTCTGAGTGTTTTTAAGAATGAACTGCCAAAAGAGCAGAGAAGAGTCGCAAAGTCTGCTGACTTTGTTGTTACAGATGTTTATTCTTGAGTTGTTGAGTGATTACATTTCAAAGCTAGTGGGTATAGTCTTTGAAAAGCAACTGAAGTTAAATGTGTTTTCCATGCCTGAAAAAACATATTTTTCTGCAGATATGGATAAATACAGACATTTGATCTCCAGTGAGGGGTTTAAAATCACGATATGCATTCTAACAAGTGCAGTAACACTGCTGCAAATGTTCCACCAGTGTGATTATCGTTTAATTTGGCCCAGTTTGCTGCCGCTTCATGCTTCCAAAGGTGAACAGTTTACTGAGGGTCAGACATTATCAGCACTGCTGTGACACGAGAGGTTGGATGTGAAGCTCAGGGTTTGTTACACAGCACCATCCATCATGTTAAAGGTCTACAGCCTGGCGTGGCTGCAAAGGCAGGACTCGCCTGCAAGGGTCAACGGTAAAAGCCTCCACTCTGCTGACTGAACAGGGGATAAGGCTTCATGTACAGTAACTGTGTGTGAGTGTGAGTGAGTGAGTGAGTGAGAGAAAAAGAGATGCCTGGATAAAAACTGACGCAGGCGGATCATTCCCTGGTCGGCTGTGGTCGACATAAATCACCAGCTCGCCTGATGGAAGGGGGCAACACCAGTGGGGATCAATTTTCAGAGAGCGGTATTCACTGCATCCTCTCTGGGGAACTCTAGAGGGTTCATGGGAAAAGGCCCTATGTCAAAGATGCAGTAACAGAGTTCTTTTGTTCTCTTATCTTTCACATATTTGTAGACAAAGGCCATTCGTGATGGGATTTTTAATCCTAAATAACAAATGTTAGATATTTCTAGTGCTGAAGCAATTAGTTCATTTGATCAATTACTAAATAACCTTGTGGTCATCGAGCAAAAAATGTTTTACATTTTCTGGCTCCATCCTCTAAAATCTAAGGATATGCTGCTTTTCTCAATTCATTTAGCAGATTAATTGCAAATTAAATGTTTTTGTGTCTTGCACAAAATCCATTTCAAGATGTCTCACCATGTGTTCTGGGAACTTGTTAGCAATGTCACTTCGCTGACATTTTACAGACTAAATGATAAAAAAATGAAAACAAGACCAACTGTCTACAGTGATGCTACAGTGGCTCTGAGGCTGTACTTTGGCGGATGTATTAATGTAATCTTTACTGTCTGTGTTTAGTGTGTTAGCATGCTAACATTAGCTAATTAGCACTAAATACGAAGGATGGCTGAGGCTGATGGGAATGTCATTAGTTTGCAGGTATTTGGTCATAAACCAAAGTACTGGACAGATAAAACATGTAACCTTATGTGCTAGAGCAGCGGTTCCCAAACTTTTTATTTTAGGCCACGCACCCCCTTCTACATCCCGACCGGGTTCACGCACCCCCAATCCCCCACACCTTAAAAAAAAGAAGCAACAGAGCCTATTTATAGCCGCATAGAAATCGGACCAATGAGAGAACAGTTTGCTCGCGCGTGGCGTTTGTTTACAATATTTAGTCCGCTGTTAAATGTTGCAGTGTGAACACAAACTGAACAAAGGGGCAACTGCAACATTGTATCATATTAATCCCTGAATCAGAACAAAGCAAACGAACTACGGGTGTGAAAACGCCCTGAAACACTGCAACAAAGTTTCAATAACTCTCAGTTACACAAGGCGTCACTTTGAAAGAGCAATAAGGATGGCGAGGACACACGCACAGGCTCAGAGGCAGATTGCATCACATTTAATTTACAATTAACCATACATAGAATGAGACTGCAGTTGTTTTGGCTGTTTTGTAACTTGCACTGGCATGCTTGGTGTTCAGGTGGCGACGTAAATAAGAGGGCTTCAGACAGCTGTTAGCCAGAACCTCATTGCACACCACGCACTGTGGCTTTGGGCAATCTGCATTGCCAATCCAAGTGAAGCCCAGACCCAGATCATTTATCATATTTCCTCTTTTTGTTCCCCAGTCTGATGCTCACTCTCGTTTCCTCTTTTTTCACCTTGACTCAGCGATGGGCCTATGTGCTCCCCATTTGTCTGTGCTATCCCTTCCTCCTTTTCGGTCTCCTCCGTCTCATCTTTCCCTGACTCCTGCTCGATTTCTTCTCCCGGTCTCTCCCCAACGCACCTCTCCGTTCCTCTCGCCTCCGATTCCTCTCTCTCTGTCCCTCTCCTCTTTTATGACTGATATAGCTTCAAATGTCCCACCTGACAGTTTCCCCGATTTCAGCCAGTTTAGCATATTTGCATGAATGTTGCTGAATGAATGAAGTTGGCTGTTAGCTGACATGGCTGCACAAGCTAGGCTAGCTAGTGTACGTAAAAGACAGTCTGGCGGCAGGAGCTGAAGTGCATTTATTTATTAAATTGTACGTTTTTAAATCTTACAAAGGGAATTTTTATAATTCATGTTTTTATTTTGTGAAAATTATATTTAATATTAATTATTACACCATTAGACCACCATTACATTTTTCCTCTCGCGCATCCCCTAGAGGCAGCTTGCGCACCTGTGCTAGAGGAACAGTCGGGTTATCACCATGGATATCTACCAAATTTCATGGCGATCCATCCAGTGGTTGTTAAGATACAAGTCCTCATTCAGACCAGGTATCGCTGTGGCACTAAAAATCGGGTTGGCGACCTGATCTGACTGAGTGAATGCAACTGATATAACTGACATTTTTACATGACATTCACAAAGAAACAGTTTTGACTGTGGGGTAGTCCTGTTTGGCTGATACCTGATCCCCCTAATAAGGTCAAAATGCTAAACATTCGCTGGTACCAGCGTCTCAAATGTGAGGATTTGCAGCTTCATTGTATATTCAATACATTTCTATTACAATTCTTGGTTGTAGTGCTAAATATGTCTAGCTAGGAATTAATTGGACCCAAACACAAGGTATGCTTCTGGCACGATTGAGCAGTTAATAAATTAGCTGATCGAATATTAATCTGCAACTAGTTTTTGTTAATTATCTAAAACCCAAACATTACCGACATCCAGCCTCTCAATTGGGCAAATTAATCTCTTTTCTGTGTCTAATGTTTTAAATTCAGACTGATGGTTTCACAAAACAAGCAATTTCAAATCTACACTTTGGCTTCAGCAAAGTGTGATTTACATTTTTCAACCATTTTCTTACATTTTATCAATGACATGAGAAAATGTTTTTGTAGGGTTACAGGCTAAAGCAACGGCAGCGCTGCTCGGCAAAGGCCTGATCAATACCGCCGCTTCTGTACTCGCGGATAGAAAGAGAACATTGATTGCGAACACGAGGATTATCAGGGGAAAAAACAAGGCGATAACGCGGAGCGGAAGACGGAACAAAGACAACTGCTGTTACCTCAGGCAGCTGGACACAAACATGTAAAGGTCAGCCAAAGCCACCCGGTGCCACTCTGGTCCGTGTTGGGATGCAGAAAAAAAGAAAAGAAAGAAATGGCTAAGAGCAGCAGACGGGCCGTTTTTTTCTTGAATGTCCTACACAAGCCTTTCTGGCCACAGGAAATGAAATGTCTCTGCTCCTCTCTCGTGTCTGTCTCGCTTTGAATCTTCCAACCGGCGATGAGCGAGGTAGAGATTCAATTACGCAATGATTGAATGTGATCCATTAATCACAAAGGGGGGGACATGTTGGGTTTCATTTGCACGCCTCGAGCTGTGGCTTCTGCTCAAGATGACCGCACTAATTGCTACCTTGAGTAATTTCAAATTCAGTTGCCGGATTGATGTAGGTGAAAGCAGGCCTTAATGTGCACGGAGGGGTGTTTTTAATGGATCTTGCGTGAAGAGAGGCGTGGTAAATTACATCCTGCAGGCGTTGTTGCATTGGAGGTGAGAAAATTAAGGATATTGTGTGTTTTTACAGCAGCTCTCTCTTGCCTCGTCTCACCCTCATTCATAGCCCTCTTCCCCGCTTTCTTACTCTCTCTCACATACACTTCTTGGGAAGCTTGCGCGACGGGAATATAAAGAAAAGTTTTTACCAGTAAACAAGCCGGGATAATGAGAGCATAAAGCAAAATGATGATGACGTTCCCGGTGCTCCTTCCTTTTCCCCTCTCCCCCTTCTTTCTACCTGGCCCATTACTCTCCTAACTCTCCGTCTTGTTTTCGTGTTTCCCTCCCATGCAGGTACTTTGTGTTGGATCCAGAGTTGGGACAGCTGCAGTACTTTGTCAGCGATCAGGGGAAGAGCCAGAAGCCCCGCGGGTCCCTGCCCCTGATCGGTGCCTCCGTAACCACGAGCGACGAGGCTCCCCACATGTTCGTTGTAAACTCTGTCAATGGAGAGCTGTACAAACTCAGAGGTATGACCTCATGCCGGCCTCAGGTTGCCCGTATATGGCAAAGTACAAACACTGAGGTGTGTGTGTGTGTGTGTGTGTGTGTGTGTGTGTGTGTGTGTGAGTGTGAGTGTGTGAGTGAGTGAGTGAGAGAGAGAGAGATGTTTGAATCACTTGGAGTGCCGTGTGTACATACTGAGGTGTTTATGAATTATCTTTATCTGCACAGTATTTGTGAATGCACTGAACATCTGGTTATGGAAAGCACTTATTAGAATTAAAGCTGCAGGGTTTTACTCTTAAAGGGCCAGCGTGTAGGATTTCGGGGGATCTATCAGGAGAAATTAAATATAATATTCACAACTATGTTTTCACAAGTGTATGATCACCTAAAACTAAGAATCATTGTGTTTCCGTTAGCTTAGAATGAATGGTTTGTACCAAAATAGGGTTAGGTCCTCTTCACAGAGTCCGCCATGTTGCACCGCCATGTTTCTACAGTAGCCCAGAACAGACAAACCAAACACTGTCTCTTGTTTAGTACCCTGGTATCGAATTAGGTATCAAGAGTTGGGAAATTGACTGGTATTGGTATCCACTACTACTTCTCTTATCACGACACCCCTAACAATAATACCATAATCCAGACTAGGCAAGGACGACACAGGCGTTGTCATTAGTTTAACTTTACCAGATTGCAGTGTAGGGTGGTGCGTCCCCTTCTCTGGCCTACATTACCCACCACCCATAGGCTCTCGAAGCACGTAGGCGTTCTTCAGCTCATTGTTTTGGTTTTACAGCCCGCCACTCCACTGGCTTTTGAATCACTCTCCCCGCTCTCATCAAACTTGTTTTCTGTCTCAGCAAGCAGCTGTTTTCACTGAAATAGCTCTGATGAATCCACTGAACACTACCTTACCACTACATTAAATGGCAGACGAAAAAAGTTAGTGACTAGCTGGTGAACATATTAGCGGCTAAAGAGCGGGATATTTCCCACAGGAGCTGGTAGACACCAAATAAAGCTAAAAGTGAATGACTATGGGACATTTACCAGGTTGCCAAAAACACAACTACAAAGTTAAACTACAAGTGATAACGTTCGATGTATCAACTTTATAAGATGATGATGATATGTCAATGTTGTGTTTACTGCTTGTTTCGCTGCCCGTGAGTGGACAAAAGAATGGGTAAATTCAGGTTTAAAGCTGAAGAGAAGTAGCACTGAATTTAACTGCACTAAATACGATCATTAAGAAATAATAATTGTGTTCTGATGTTGCCTTCAAAATCAAACTTTCTTTTGTGTACATGGTCATTTGGCATAACTTTCCAAATTTGATATCACATTTTCACATTGATGGGTAAAAACATAAAACTAAATCCCAACTTGTTTTTAGTTTTATCACTGCAAGAGTCGATCACTCAGTAGTGCTTTTGTCAGTGGGACAGTTCATGCTGTAAACATACGGTTCATACAAACAAAAATATACTTTCGAGAGGCAAAACATAAATAATGAACATGGGGACTATATACAGAGAGCAGTTAGTGGCAAATCTATGATGTATATATAATGATTAAAAAGGCAGCCCTAACTTAAGTGTAATATTTTTTTGTGAAGTGCTTACTTTGTAAGTATTCAGTGTGAACGTTTATGCTAATTGCTTTATTTTTCAACACTTTTTTTGTTGTAGAAAAAAATGCTGTATATCGAGTAGAAAGGAGACTTGTTCGGCCGAAGCACAAGATCTACTCCAAAGTGAAATATGTCTTTAAGACCCGGTGCCAGACAAAGAGCCGGTAGCGGGTCACTGTGTTGAAGGTCTTTGCCTTCACTGACCTGTATCCACTGAAGCGAGAGAAACTCTCTTTTGCTCCACTTGAGCCGCTGGAATGTCCCCCGACACTCTCGAGGGGGAGGATATCAGAATAACTCGGCCTATATTCTCCGATTAACTCGGTGGTCCATGTGTATTGAGCTAAGAGGAAACGATGATCCAACAGAGAAGAAGAAGTTGGGCTGAGTAGCTCACAGGCAGAGGTACTTCCATCCCCATCGCTTCAGTAAGATTTGAGAATGATAAAGAAAGTCATGGAGCGAGAAAAGCTTTTGATGCAGCTCAGCTGAACAAACTCGAGGCCTGTTTAGAGGTTTGACCGGCGCCAAGACCCCGAACAGCAGATATCAGATTTTTAAACATTCGTCCTTGGTATCGAATATCAGCACTTGTACTCAAAAACATCAAATTGCTCAACCTGCAGGGTACAAAGAGGCTCAGATGTACGTTCTCAATGGTTGGTGATTAAGATTAGCCGGTACACTTCGGGTCTGGTATTGGTTACCATGAGAATCCCCGAAAGCCCACCTTGGGGGTGGAAAGAAAATGGAACTTCAAGGTTCAGTCTGGAGTCATTTTACAGTATTTGTAAGCTGCGTATCATCTCACTGATGGTCTGTGTCTAAAGCTTTAAATGCCACCTTTATTCTCCTGTTCATGCCTTGTTTCTTAAGAGGGTTTGAGCACATTTCTTTGTCCCCAACTGGTGTAGGAAGAGGCTGGATACACAGATACTCTGTAGCTACCTTAAAGTGACGGCGTTTCAGATTTATTTATTTGCATTTAAGTGGCTTTTTTTGTATACTAACATTATTATGGAAAGGATAATTTGAATGTATTTTTGCCAGATGATATACATTTATGCAAATGAAGGAAATAACATTGATATATAGGCCTATCTGTTCTTTGTCATTAAATTAAGTCATTCTGGTGCCCTCTGTGCAACAATTGTTCCTAACTCTTAGTAATGTTTCATCATAAATGCAAGAATGTCTCGTCTGATCCAATGAGGGATTCACATGTGACAACTAACACAGCTGTTAAGTAGCCTGAGGGGTTTTCTGGCTCTAAACCGAAGTGCAAAAATAATATAAAGGAAGTATTTCATTGTCGGATGTGGGGAGATTGTTGGGGCCTTGTGTTTTGCTGCTGAGTAAAGGTGAAGCGCAGTGGGAATTTAATCATGTCTGACTGCACAGATGGAATATCAAGCCATTTATCATACGGTGTCTCAATGAGACAGCGGGCCAATGAATGAAAGGGTCAGTTTGTGTTCAGTGTTCCATCTGGCTGATTAAGATGCCTGAAACAATCTCCGCTCTGCATCATAATGATAAGAACAAAAAAATCTGTTCTTATGATTGAGTATTATAAACTCCATAAGAGCATTCCTCATCACAAGTTTGCCAAAAATATTTCTGGCATTTGCAACAGCAAACGGTTTGTTTGTTTGGTTTAACAGGATTTTACATTTAACCCATTGTAAGCCTTAGGGGGAGCAACTTAGGGTTCAGTGTCCCGCTCGAGGACACTTGGACAGGAGGAGCTGGGAAATGTACCGCCAACTGGCTGATTAAAAGTTGACCCGCCAGTATCTCCCAAAAAGTTACCTTTACTCTGAATTATGAGCCGCTGGATACTTTTACCAGAGTAGATTTGTACCCTAGTACGATGGAAACACTCTTTACATGACCTTTCATATCACATCTATTATAGTATTATTGGGTGCCACCATTCAATAACAAAGATTCATCAAATTCACATCTTTCTTGCATTTTTCTTTTTATCAAGTCAATAGCAACAGTTCAAAAACATTCCAGGCTCTGCCTTCCTCCATGGTGGTTATGTGCTTTTCCTTCTTATGGAGTCAAATATCAGTAAAGTATAAGCACACTTATTCTGCTTACTGTTAACATTCATTACCCTTTTACTTTACTGCATCAAAGATTAAAATGAACTGCTCAGCACAACCGATGTGAGGTCCGGCAGTCTCTATCACTATTGAATAAAAGCTGTTTAGAGCAAATTAAGCCTAAGGTTAAAGCTGAAATTACAGCAAATCTTCTCCAAGCATATAATCTAGTGTCACTGATTTAGTATAAATGATTACAGGGATGTCGTTTTGATGAGTAAAAGCCGGTTGCTGTAATTGGTTGCCACCCTGTTAACCTCTAGTCCCCGTCAGCTTGTCCATTTTCTTGAAAAATACCTTTTAAATTGCCCCCTCGTAATATCTCCCAGCACTTGAATCAACTCTAACTGCTGGTCCGAGCATTAATCCTCATTATTAGTCTTCATTATCATAACCAATGACATCTTTTGCAACACTATAATTAGAAATGGGTATAATTAGATGATGATGGTGCTGCTACGATCGACTGGAAAGGAGTTTTTCTCTCCGTAGTGTTCGCATATCGCTCAGCCGTCTCTGGGATGGATACCGACATTTAAATAGGACGGGCAGACCGGTACGAGTGTCATTGTTGGTCCCAAACCTCATGCATTCATCACATGACTACAGCTGTCACCTCTAAGCCTCAAAACCAGTGTTGAAATTCTCATCAGTAAAACAGTATTCTCCCTGAGTGGAAACAGCACGTCCTGCGATAAGCTAAGCAGTATACCGTCACCATGCAAACAGGTGCATATTAGCATAGCCGCACTGCTCTGCTCAATACAGACGGCTAATTATCTTTAATCACAGCTAGGCTTGTGCGCATCACGGAGAAAAATATCTGATTTAGTCGCTTGCTCACTCTCCGGGGTAAGTGAGCCCCTTTAGAGTGAGTGATTTCTGTGGCTGGTGGCAGCAAGGAACGAGTGGGGAAGGTTGTTACTCGGCACAGGTGTTTCTGTGGGAATACTCTGTTCTCCCTGGAGAGGCGAGCAGCCCACTCCCAGTGGGGGGGTGTAACAAAAGATTTGAAAGGAGCTGTATTTAACATTCTGAACATTTATATAGCAGCAAACAACTTGCTCTGCAAGGATATGAGTAATGTCTACTTGAGCAGAGGACAAAGTCGCTCCCCCACTGTGTGTGTTGTTATCAGAGCGTCTCCTTACTTCCTTGACATGTTTTTAGTGCATATTGGTCCATGTGAATGTCTCCCACTGGTTGGCTCACAGCCGCTGCTCTGCACTGCTCTCATACAAACCCTCTAGTTCCCCCCTCAGGTAAACACTGTTAGCTCTGTCAGCACTTTTGCCCTAGTTAGCGCTGTTAGCACCGTCAGCTGCTGTACGAGCCGCCGGCCTGCCGTCGACATGTTGAGAGCCGTTGGGAGGCAATCGAAATGCTCCCAGTTTCGAATCTTGCACCTGTTAAAGTTTAATCTCACTAGCTATGTAATTCCTTTCAATGAAACAATGCATCCTCTCAGAATTATTTTATGGCTAATTACTAATTACTTTTTTTATTTATACAATTTATATTATCATTTTTTATGGTAAATAACACAATTACTTTATTTTTGCTATTGTGTAACGTATTATACTAATCACAATTCTATGTTATACCACACTGACCTTTTGTCTTACTCTTGTATGTCATGCTATACGATGACATTTCTTCTAACACACTACAAAAAACTAACAAAAAACATAAATGTCTATCGTTACACTGCCATTTTATACATTTTCTTTGATTGATTGACTAGAGTTGTAGTGTTTTTTAGGGGGGACTGTCCGTAAATAACAACACCCCAAAATGCAGAGGTGGCGTGGCGGGCCTTCAGCCCTGAGTAGTGTCTACAGGATTCCTCTCCGGCTGCATACAGCTACAACAGGCTGGATAGTAAGAAGACACTGTTTAAAGAGATTTTAATAATAATAATTGGACCAAACTGTAAAAATGAAGAGGGCAAAAATAGGATTCTGAAAGTGGAAATTGCCCCCTTGTTTGGATCTGAATGAAGCCTGATGTTTTTGGCAGACCTAATACATTTTTTTTAAGACGTAAGTGGTGTATTCCTGTTTCCCACCCTCAGTCTTTTTCATTCATGTGAGGATCCATAAAGGCTAAGGGTGTCCCATTCCTGTTTTTCTCCTAAGTGCTGCCGCACGGATCGACTGCGGTCCAGTTTCACTAGTACCCACCGTACCACTGATCACAAAGTGTTAGAAAATCAAGGGCACCCTTAAACACGACTGTGCTCAGGTGTACCGATTACCTGCCACACACCTTCCCTTTTGTAACTGGACAGAGTTTTTAAAAAACATTTGATGACATTGAAGACGTTTGTACCTAATATTCTTTTGTTACTCTTTTCTTCTGTTGGTCTTCTAGCTGGGGTTGACCTACAACGTGAACTCAATGTTATCAGACCCATCAAAGACATTGTTCTCTAATAATTAGTCAGTGAAATGGGATCAGAGGGATATTATTTTCCTGTTTGACCCAGAGCGGGTCAACACAAGCAGACAATCGGCTTCTCCTTCAACTGGAAGGGCTGCGGGTCGCTGTGTTAGTCAGCAAGTCTTGGTCTCAACTGGCTATTCGTGTTTTAGATAACGGGGTGTATTGTCTCTGTGCCAAAGGGGAAAAACCACAAGTACTCAGAGTGTCAAGCTGCTTCCTGTGCTGCTCGCAAATGAGGCTCTGCCGTCTCTTGAATACCGAATGTTCAATTTAGCACAGAGGAGAAAATGAAGAGGTTGAGATGTGATACACAGCAGAAGGTAACAGGATCACAGGGCCGGGTAGGCAGTGGGCTGGTTGATTAATCATTTGGCTACAATTGAGATCACTGACATCCAACACAGCTCAAGACAGGCTCTAGTTACATTTAAAAAAACACTTGTCCATTCCACCTTAAAACCTGCTCTGTAATGATTATGCTGGTTCCCCCATCTCTGCAATTTAAGTGCATTTAAAGGAATGAGTTGGATGAGAGTAAACGCACGTCTGTACGGTATAGATAGCCGCAGCCAGTTAGCTTAGCTTAGCACAAAGGCTGGAAACGAGAGGAAACAGCTAGCTTGGCGTGATTACACTTAAAAAAACATTGCTTTCCCCCAGCTTCCACTGTTTATGTTAAGTTAAACTAAGCGTCTGCTGGCTGTAGCTTCATACTGACAGATAGGAGAGTGGTATCAATCCAAACCCAATAAGCATATTTAACAACACTATTCCAGCAATGGTTTTAATGTGCGTCTGTTGTTCTTAGATCTGCATTTTGGGGCAAATGAAGCCTTAAGCTTGGATTATACTCGCTTAAAAATCTTGAATTACACGAAAATGCAATATTATTGCTTAAAAGGGCTGTTGGCTCGAGATGAAACAAACCACACTTGAAACATGATACAACCACCACCTGCTCTTAATGCTGTACGTGTGTGTTTGTGTGTCTGTTTCCTATCACGCAGTGTTTCCGCTCAGTGAACCATGTTTGGGGTCAAAACACTTTTCGCTGTGTTGGTTCAGACCAGTTAAATCTGATCATATGATGTTGGAGCTAAGAAATATTTACAAGAGGCAGCAACAGAATACGAAAAAGCTTACCCACCAGTACTCGATCATTTCTCCAGACCAAGGGCTTGACCAGGAGTTAAGAAATACTGAGCTCATGAGTATCGAGCTGAAACTAAATTTTTAATTTGCACCTACTTTTAAAATCAATTAATTGGTTAATTGTCAAGCTTAAATGCCTATTATTCTACACCTCCAGCTTCTTAAATGTCAAGATCTGCTACTTCATCTTTTGGCATCAGACTTCTACATTTCTTGCTAACGTTTAACAATTTTTCTGACCATCCACAGCCTTAAAAATGAATTGATAAATAAGAAAACAACTGTTAGAAGAATCAACAGTGAAAATTTTAATTAGTTGCAGCCCTATACAAGTCTCCACTCACCAGATCCCATTAGGAAAGTTTGGATTTTTTACTGTTTAAATTAATGTTCTGTTGATTTCATTACCCAACATTAAAGTCTGAATTATCTTTCCAAGCCTTCTGTTCGCTACTAAGAATAGACTTCTGATGCCAGAACAGTGAATTTATAATTAATTAATTCATTAATTTTGCTGCCTAAAAATGGTCAAATTCTGAGTCTAAAATGATTAGAATCTGCCAGTTAAACTGTTCATTCATCAAGTGGATAGCTCCTGGCAGGTTCCTAAAACTCCCACATTCTTTATAAACTTATCGAGGACATGACCTCCGTTTTTTAACATTTTTAAATAATCTCCTGATAACTTGTTCTGCCAGTTGATGTTTAAAACCTTGGGCATTAATTTAAAAGTTCACCCGTGGAAGTGGGAGTCACCATACGATAAATAAACTGAAGGGATGTGGAGACACTTTAAGGCACATGGCTTTCTTATAACTGCATATTGACCTGACTGTGAACTCATTAAGGGTTGATGGGTAAATTCTCAATGTCTTGCGTGTGTAAAGGAAGTTAAGACTTGTAACGTTATTTATGTGTTTTTGCTCCGTGTGTCTCTGTAGCCTCCGACGCCAAGGAGCAGCAGTTTTGGATCAGTCAGCTCCAAGCGTGTGCCAGACGTCACTCTGACACCAGTGCCAAGGTAAAAAAACACACGCACACAGACACTTGCGGGAACAGAGTTGTAAACACGACTCTGGTCCAAGCTCTTGGCATGTGTTGTGTGGGAAGTGAGTGGAAAGCCTCGGCATTTCTCTTGAGATTCCTGTTTGTGTGTCTGTTTCTAAATGTGACACGTTTTTCATTGCAGCCCGCCCTCCCTTTCCTTCTGTTCTGCTTTTAGTCCACTGGCTTTTTCAGTGAGTCTAAAGGTGAAGGATTTTTTTCCCCCATGCCATTTTTCAATTTAAATGGCATCATCTCCCATGAGTCTCATTTAACATTTCTCCTGTCATTCTCATCATCTTGGCCTGTTTAAAATTACTCGTTTTCTCTATAAAGTCTTGCAGCGAGTATGTTAAGCGTGAAAATAAATCATGCTTAATTTAGTGAAAATACTCAACAAGCGAAAGATTAAAAAAAAGAAAAGATGCGGCAAAAGTGAGGAGAGATGTGTTTAAAATTTAAAAAATGAGGGACAGAATGTGAAAGATGTTAAAATCCAGGAGTGACACTATTGCAGAGCTCAGCTTCCACGTGTCATGTGTAACTTCTCTTGCTTGTCCAATTCCAGAATATTTTTAGCACTTCAATTGACAGAAGACTTAGCGATTTAGGGGAAATATCGCGCTCCTGCTGCTGTATTTGAGGATGAGGCTGTCTCCAAGTGTCCCTGGTTTCACTGTTCCTCTTCGTGTCTATGTGGGCTCATTTCTGAAAGATTACTGTGTTGGGTGTAGTAGCAACTACCTTTTATCCACAACCAGTCTTTTTTTAATATCCTGGATTAATATTTGGACATTTTTTGGGGGTTATAGCGTGAGCTTCGAGGGATTAGTCGGGGTGTGTGTGTGTGTGTGTGTGTGTGTGTGTGTGTGTGTGTGTGTGTGCTGTCTGTATCTCTGGTTGGGTGGATCACCATTGGCCGGATCCAGTAGAGAATGAGGAAATAATCCAAACTTTATAATTTCTTTGGCAAACATTTGCTATTAAAGTTGATTTTCCTCATGGAAGGTGAAGGTGTGTTTTTTTCATTTACACACACCATATAATCAAGATGACATTCTGCAAAGATGAGGGAAGTGTATATGTCAAGCCATGATATTTACTAATGCACCTCTTTAAAGCTGATGATTCTGGCTGAAAGCATATAGTGTCAATGACTGCCTACTGTGCTAAATAGTGATTATATTGGTTTACTTGTCAGATGAAGCTCCCATTGTACAGAAAAGCTGTCCTGGACTGCCATAAAAAGGCATTTTCCTGTTGAGTTCATTGTTTACAGCCTTATATGATACAGAAACATTTTAATGGTCACCGTCAAAAGAAGAAAAATACGTATTAAATGGTTATCTTGCATACATCTGTGAGGTGATGATAAAAACCAGACAAACAGTAAAAAGGGGGAAAGCTTCTGACTCTTCAATAAGGTTGTGTCCTGTACTGTCTTGGTGCTTTTGTTATGTTTCTTGATTAATTTATTCACCATTAATCTGTGTGTGTGTGTGTGTGTGTGTGTGTGTGTGTTTGGGTTCAGGTGAGGAAACTAAAGGGCTCCGATGAACACTTGAGTGTGGAAAGAGTAGGAGGAGGCCACGAGGGGCTGGTGAGTCAAACACACGCATCCCTGAGCACCTGAGATGCACTTTACTTCCTGTTTCACAAACACAGTTTCACCATCAAACATTTGAAAGGCCGTGAAAAAAAATCAATTTGTCCTGTAGTGTACATTCTCCTTGTGAAAAAACGCCCTTTCATGTGTCTTTTCAAACAATCAAATACGGCAGCCTCCTTATGCTGCCTCATCGCCGGCTCGCTCATTCGACACGTAGCTCTTCACCACTTGAGACTGCTGCACAGCTGGAGTGAAGGAAAAGTTCAATTACTCTGCTCAGCCGTGATGAGGAGAGCAGTCAAAAAACAAGAGAACAAGATTGGATAAGTAAGAAAAAAAGTGGAAGGAGACGGTCTGTCTCCCTTTTCCCTTCCGTCCTGCAGAGCTGAACGGGTGTTTTGTTCCTGTTCGTTGACTGAGGGGCATTGCCACGACAGCAGCTGTTATTACTGTTCCCACTGCTTTGGTCTAATCCTTCCCCGAGCTGCGCTGTCTGCCTCTCAGATCGTTGTCGCAGCTACTCTGGCAATGCGGCAGCGGCGGCTCGGCTACATCTCTGATAACAGAAGAGGTGCAGCAGGATTTATTTGTTACAAAAAAGGGCAGGGGATCAATGTTCTCGTCTTTATTAGAAACTGAATAAAAACAGTGCCGACATATGTTATACGGTTGACCATACAGATGCATTGAATCCGTTAGATTTTTCTTCGGGAGGTTTTTACGTAGAAGTTGATGAGGTAGAAGAACATATGAGGGAGAGTATGTTGGTATGTTAGTTTCAGCCTAGATAGGACGGTACAATATGGGGACAGACATGGGCGAGGTAGGAACACCTGAAAATGTGGTGCAATTGTAACCTCAAAAATTGCCATTGAGCTGAATCAACTTCTCTGACTCTGCAAAAGTTTTTTTAGTTTCACAGTCTCAACTCGAGGTCCATTTTAAAAGCTGTTTAAGAGCTTTTAATCCTATCCCATGATTTCCATCAGCAGATGGAGTCACCGGATACATTTACAAATCCTCTAAGTTATGGCTCAGCCGTGATCTTTCTCCGTTTGTCCTCCCAACTCACAAATAAGTAAGTAGCCAAGTTTCCATACAAAAGAAAACACAAATGAATGCGTGTTTCCATCCACTCTTGTTACGCGACGATTAGGAGTTGGTTCATTGACAGACGCCAGCTGGTGGCGCTCATTCTCAGGTGCTGTTAAGTCATTGCAGAAGAAGAGGCAAGGTGATGGCATAGTGAAAACGGCTCCAATCAAACCTAAAGCCTTCATTTGAGAACGGTTCTAGTCTTCTCATTGCTCCACACAGATTTGATGTTTTTATCTCTTTCGGTGAAAATGTCAGTGGACCTTTTAAGCCACATGCTTCATGTGCATCATGATTAATTCCCTAAGTCTTGTTTCCATTGCACTTTGCATTGTGCACTCATTAATACACCACATTTTCCACCTCCGCCTAGCATGAGAATTAAAGAGAGTCAGAATATGTATTTTGCTGCCTCTGTGCAGCTCACATTTCATACTGACATCACCACATTGACAGTGAAAGAAAGCTCCGTGGTCAATAAATCAATAACTTAAATGCATGTCTGGACACTCTTGTCTCTCTGGCTGGAGCTTTCTGTAGATTCTCATCAGTCCCCAAAGGAGAGTTTGACCGTATTCATTGCAGTTCCACCAATCTGTCAAATGATCCAGTTACAGTGGCTGTTGTTCTGGTAGCTGCTTTCAAAGTCTAACTTTAGTTGTCCTGGTTTCAGTTTCGGTTGTATCCAAAATGAGTGTAAAAGCATCATCGGGTATTAGATTTTGGACAGGGTGAGTACAGAGGAAACCGTGCATTCATGGGACAAACTTACGATATGAATCTTCTTTATTCATTTATCACTTTTTTGGTACATGGTTAAAGTATCGTTATACAGTTTGTGAGCAGCACAACATGGAAGAATGCACGTGATAAGTGGCTGTGGAAAACCAATAGAACATGAAAATGAAGCACTATAGATTACTTCAAATATAAACTTCGAACAACTTCAGGTATGAAACTAAATACAGATTCAATATAGACAGTTTTGTGAAAGGCATAGATTACATTAAAGACCCGGCTTGCCGCCAACAAAATAAAACCTAATATGTTTTTAGATGTTGAATTATAGTTTCTTCTAAGTTGAATGTCCCTGCATAATGGTTTAAGGATTTCAAAACCTTCTCTACATTGCCAGGTATGTAATTATATCATATGTATGTATGTATATATATATATATATGTATATGTGTAAGAGTAGTGACTTCCACATCAACTGATGTCACACATGCAGGTGTGCTGTAGAATGCTGCAGGTGTAATTGGTTGCGATTAGCAGCCTGATGAATAGACCAGTAACCATGTGAAACTACAGCACACACAACAGGTCAGACTGGACTTTGAGTGGGACTGGAAATCCTGTTTACTTTCTGCTTGAATTCTCTCTCTCTCTCTCTCTCTCTCTCTCTCTGGCTTGAAACTCCACTTCAATAGCATTATCTTTACATGTTGATATAAGGTTTGAAAATGGTTAAATTAGTTGGATTTATGTACCCTGCTAACCGAGGTTGTTGATTAGCTAATTGTGTGTAATTAGCGTGGTTCCCTGTAGTGCAGAAAATGACAGGTCAGCAGCTGACCGTTGCACCAGCTACCCACGCTGCCTCTCTCAGGGCCAAGTCCGCCCACGGTCGAGTGACAGCAGAGAGCACCTGTGAAGCAGAAACGTAGTACTTGTTTTTTACCCCTGAGCTTGGCCTGTCAGCCAGAGTACATTTCCTGTTTATGTATAAGATTAGAAGACTGGAATCATTGTACGTAAATTTACAAAAGGCCTCCAATTTATATCATGACTACATTTTCATATTTGAATTGGAAGGGTAGACTTTGGTGTCTACATTTCACTGCATACTCTCTGACGTGTTTAACTGTCCTCTGCTGTGTCGGGACGCCAACACAAATCTGAAAGTCACAAGGTCTCACCGCAGAAATCTCCTTACCAAGTCAGTTCTGCCTGCAACTTGAGTCTCTTAAGTCTTATGTTCTTGAAAAGTGACGTGATCTTTGAATGTTTATAATCATTTTCTTTGATTTATTCTTTGATATACTGGATATTGCACATCTTCCTGCCTCTAAACATCTTTAGTTAAATCAATATGAGAGACAACTGTGGAAATTTATTCATTTTAAAGATCTCACAAGCCATAAATATTGTGACTGTCTGCCCTATGTGAAGCATTACAACCCATTTTCTTGCTCTGACGTCTTCTTGTTGTTCCAGTTTATTGAAACGCTCGAGGCTTTGTGCCAGTTTTGGAGGACGAAACCTCAGCGTGTCTTATCTGTTCGCACTCCTGAAATGCTGTTTCCTTTTCTGCTTACTCACGCCTCGTGGCTTAGCCTTGCACAATGCAACAGTGTTCCCTCCTGTAAGCTGATTATGCTCCGTTTAAATGATTAGCCAAGGACCTGCCTACTATAACTCCCTATTTAGTGTTTTGGATGCATCTAATCACACGGAAATGCTCTTGTTTTTATCTAAATGTGGTGTTTCTACACTAACAGCTACCCAAAGGAGCAGAGTAAACGCCTAATCATGTATGTGACATTATCTCACGGCATGTTAGACATAGATTTGATTTCCTGGGTTACCGCACAGTGAGCAGCAGAACTCCCAAAGAAATCGAAGGCCGGTGGCTTCCCTCACAGTGAGCAGTGTCCCGGGGCGTAAGCTGTTTATTTGATCTATTTTATTTTCACTCTCGCTGTTCTGAGGGTTGAGTCTCTGGTGCCTCGTCTCTCTGCGCTGCTGTAAACTAACGGAGAGTAAAGACGGGAGAGAGAGATGCTGCTCTGACCTGTGAGCACAGAGGTCGGCGAACTGAAGAGACCAGAGTCACAGAGGGGAGGCGACGGAGGCATCGAAAGTGAAGAATGCGATGTGACTTTAGCTTTGGCTCAGAGAGCAAAAACTAAACAACAAAAGTGATGACTACCTTTTTTATACGTTTTTTCTTCTATACAACTTTAATTCACAAACCTAATGGTGGCAACTACTGTGTGTTTGCATTTATGGGGAAGCAATGTATTTGATTGATAGGTTGACGAGACGGCAAATAATTGGGTTCTCTGGAAAATTATTGATTCGTTTGTTGATTTCGTTTGTCTTTTAAACATTATGTGAACGCAGCGATTACCAAATAGGCTTTATGTCAGAGAAAAACATGCCTTTACCTCTCCCTGCACTCTTAAAACAAGTGGTTCTATATTGAACCTTTTATTATAACAATGATTATATAATGATATAAAAAAATCTTATTAATAATGATAATATTCATGCTAATAATAACAAGAAGAATATTTTTTACAAATAATCTGTGTGTGTGTGTGTGTATGTCTATCTATCTATCTATCTATCTATCTATCTCCAAAAGACAACAGAAAATTGACAAATGACAACAATGTCACGTTCACACACACAGATACAGGCAAGTAAATTAATATTTAAGACGGAATGAAATTGTAATTTTATTGTTTTATAGTAAAATGTTTGAGATATTGATGTGAGTGAAATCACAAATAGGCTACCACATGTACACGGCACAGGTACTTTTTTCACAGTCTTCGCTCAAAGTGGTAATTTTCCTCTGTTAACAATACACGGATGCAGATAAACAGAAAATGCCTCAAGGCAGTTTTGTCAACCCCTGAGTAATGTATAATAGCTAAAAGCCAGTTCATTATTTACACAACATGTACAGGCTATAAGTTCTATGCTTTTAAGCAGCGTTTGCAGGAAACTTCTCATTCGGATTAAAGTTAGTAAAACAAGGTACGGCTAATGTTAGCTAGCCTTAACGTTAGCTAAGCTACTGACTTAAAAGGAAGAAATATTTTATTAAAGCTGAGAAGTTTTTTATATATAAATATAAATAAATAAATAACCGGCACGTTCCTTTATATTATTTTGCTTATACTAAAGAAACAGAGAAAAGAAATGTTTATTTTTTCTGTAGAAAAAAAGTTTATTTGGGGAATAGAAACCCTGGCGTTGCTTATTGAAACTTTTTTTCGTTATTGAAAACAAAGAATTTTTAAGAGCATACTCTTCCTTTTACATTATCATGCTTCCTCCACATTTAAATCCCCACACTACTCTCTCTCTCCCTCCCTTTCTGTGCCGCCCCCCAGGGCTCCTCATCCTCTGGTCGGACCCGTAGCTTCTCCCTCCTCCCCCACCTAACCCCATCTTCATCCCCGGGTTCTCAGAGGCACCTGAGCCACGTGGCCTCACCCAGCAACATCGTCACCATCACCCACCACAAATCTCCGGCTGCAGCTCGGCGGGCCAGGAATCTGTACCCGGGACGGCTGCTGGAGGTCAAAGAGGTGGGTGTCAAAGGCATAACAATATTAATTTAACCCTGGGCCTCGAGACTTCAAATTCAACGGAGGGAGTTTTTTTGTGTTTGCCTTTTTAAAAGGGGTTTCACAGAAAGGTAGTAAACAAGTGGAGATGGGTTTGCCAAAGCAACATGACAGTTATTACAACTTTGGTCTTATTTTAATAGACTTGGTCGTCATTTCTATCAGTTGTTACATCCAAATTCATTGCTGAGGTCTGGGAACACTGTGACGCAGCAACAACACAGTTGTAAAAATCCCTAATTGCACAGAAACGGCACACAACTAAGGCAAGTATGGTAGATCGGAATGTGTGCGCGGGTCATGTGAGCAACGGGAGTAGCCTGGCTAGCTTTCCCCTAGCGAGCTAATCTTCCTGCGCAAGCTATTATTTAACTGATGTACTGTAGCCCACACTGGATATGAAGATGTTTTATGCATTTCTTTTGCCTTTCCACTACGCCATTTAGCCATTTCCTCTTCTTAATATAATTATATAGTCTTTTTGCTGACAGACCCACACATTAAAGAATTGGAGACATTTAATGATACCAGATGAAATACAGAAACTTTTCCAAAATGATTGTGTTGTCGTGAATATTCCCAAATGGCATATTTTTTTATTTTTATTTTTTTTTTAGAAGTTTGTCATTTTGACATTTGAATTTTTTTTTTAATTTACATCCAAATCCCAGTGATAAAGGGCTTTATTTGTCAACTTAATACAAACAAACACAGCAGGTTGATTAACAAGCTTTACCAACTTTTTCCTTCGCTGTAAACTGTACAAAATATTCAAGGACAACTTCGTTGCTTCTCTGACTAACTTCTTACGCTAGAAGTAGACGAGCTAGCCAAACTACTGAAAACTAGCGTTCCAATGTCTTTGCTTGGCATCCATTGTAACCTTGCTAGTGGTCCCTCTAGTCTTCCATGTTTGGATATACTTCTACTGTTAAACTTTTCTAAACCAGTTTGTCCGACCATGGGGTTTGTTTGAAGTCTGTATAATATGCCTGTTGGATGTTGCTGCATTCCCAGATCTTACCAATTAACTTGATTTTGCTATGACCAATAAGAAGTTATGATAAACTGGATTCAAACCTTAAATATTAATCAAACAAAGTCTTGCGTTTTAACAGAAAACACTTCAAGAACGTTTTGTCTGATCATTTAGTATTCCGTGTGGCCTTCAGAGTCTCTGCACTGGTCTCAGGTGGGACACTGGTGCAGTGGGTTCAGCAGATATTTCTGGCCTCCTTGCAAGCTTGACAGCGACTGCAGTGTACTCGGTCTTCACTGTAAATTCAGCTTTGTTGGCATTTTTATGGTATATATCAATACTGATTAACATGGCCGGTGACAGAGGGAAGAGCTCGTGGAGCTTATATTGTTTAATTGGGGTCAGTGTGTGCGGCACCCGACATATGAGAAGTGTCCGTGTGTGCAAAGAAGATAAATTGTGCCAGCGAGCTCGTCCATATGGAACATTTGATATTCCTGTCCATGTCGTCCTGCTAATCGCTGAATGTATGCATTTTGATTTTACCACCGTTTCCATAAGAGCTTACATTTACAGACCTGCAAGCACATCCTGAGTTAATTAAAAACCCCTCCGCTTGAAATTTCCAATCAGTTTTTGATTTAGTTTGAAGTTTAATTCTCTCCGCCTCGGTCACCAGACCTGTCGGGTCTGGTGACCACTTCGTCCTCATCTGCCACATCTCCATACATCCAGCACAGTCATTCACTGCTCTCTGCTTATCTTTCAAGAGAGAATCGTTTTTGTTCCTGTCTCTTCTTAACAGCCTTTCTGCTGTTGATGTGTAGTGATTAATTGCCATAGATTGGACCTAAAGTTGGGTTTGCGAAGGCGAAAATGATACACATGATGAAAACATGGTTTTATGCCCGACTGGCCAACTATAGATGTAGAGCTGCAGCACGTTTTGCTCTCACGCTTTTGGTTATAGTTGAAATGTGCTTTTTGGATCATTGCCAGGCAGCCACGCATCCGGCTGCTGAATTATGGAGATAAGATGACTTAGTGGTAAGGAAGGAGGAAGAAACATGGACAAGGAGAGACGAGAGGCTTTCAACACTACTTCCCCGTGCAAACTGTTGGCACAGAGGAGAAAAACAGACGCTGACGGGGAAGAGGTCATGTCGGCCACCGTGGAAGATGTTGATGGATACGGATACTTACTGACTTGTTTTGTCCTGCAGCTGCTCCTGTATTGTTTGCCTCTATCTTTACTAGCTTGCAGTCTTGGCACATTAAGGCAACCTGTAGATCAGTGGAATAGTGTAAAACCATTGGCAGGAATGTGTATCGCGACATGAACATCCCTGTAGTGCTACTAAGGTTACCTTTAAATGACTTATTTTGTCTGACGAACAGTCCCAAGAACATTGAGAGCGTTCAAGTTACGATGATGAAATGGCCGAAAGCAGCAACTCCTCACTTCTGAAATGCTGGAACCAGTGAATATTTGCCATCTCGGCTGAAGAAACTATACATTTTCAGTCCGTCGACTAATTACCCGTATGAAGACGGCGAGAAAGCAGACAGAAAATGTGTATATATCTTCTTCTTTAACTATTTATTGTTCATCATTGTTACAGGGATAAATAAGAGGACAGTCTTTCACTTGTAGCTATCTGATCCTCGCTGCGCAAAAACAAAGATGGCTCTCATTTAGTTGCACTCTCAAACTGGGACAAGGCAGCTTTGTATGACGTCTCCCAAATAGGACGTTCTAATGCATCGCATGAACAAAAAAATACTCTGCTTTCCTAATAACCTGTCGTGTAATTGAAACCTCACAGTGGGATGTGAGCACTTTGCGTCTCCTCTCCTATGACTGGTACAGTGAGGGGGTAGACTGCCACGCTAAACTGTGCATTCAAAACTTAGCAATTACCTCAGCGGCTCGTCGGCTTCTTCTGCCTGTCACTCTGGTGACACCGCCGGAGTAGCATCAATATTTCATGCAAAGATCTTTATTTCATGGCCCCTTCTCGCTCATTGACGACCTGGCTGGCTTCAAGTTGTTAAAATCCCCACTCGGAGTCGCCACACTGTGCGTCTGCTTCCTCTCGCTAAGAATATCTCGCCTAAGTGATTCCCTCTGTGACAGAAAGAGAGCAAATCTCGTTCGGTGTGAGCGGAGAGTAATTTGTCACCTCTCAGGAGCAGAGTCTGTCTCAAGTGAACCGGGGGACAGTTTGAGTTAATACGGAGCAGATGGTGCGATCGTTATGCAAAACAAACACTCCTTTTGGTGCTTGTGTTTTATCTGCAGACGGAGAAAACAAGGCCCTCCATGACGCGTGATTCATTCTCTCTTTTGGTTCAGAAGAACTGGGTTGCCGCTTCGTGCGATCTGACTCGTACGTGCCGTCATTTAGCTTCTCTCTCCTCGTCCACTGTTCTTTCTCTTCCTCCCTCCCTCCTCATGTCACTTTGTTGTTCTACTCCCTTTATTCGTAACGGGCCCATAAACCTGCCTGGCGGGGATGGCACAGAGCCGGAGCTCGAGTCAACAGTCAAGGAGCGCGCTTGCACTGTGATTTACGCAACACTGTACACGGTAGAGACCAGAGAGCTGCCGCGTGCTGATTATCGGTGGATTTATGGTCAAACGTTGGGAACCTTGTGGTGTACATGATAATATTCATGAACACTACTCTGTTCCAACGCCCCCCCCAGCTACAGATGCATACAACTTTGGCTCTTTTTCAAACAGTCATGGAGGGGGAAGTGGTCTTTGCACCTCAGTGAATCTCCACATGATCTGTCTCCTCAGCTCTGCCCTGCTGATCCCCGACCCACCCGCACTCACTGAACCATCCTCACACCAGACAGGAGGCTCAAACACACAGTGTGAGCAGCAGCAGCAGCAGCACAGAGTTAGGGTTCTACTTGGGCCCGTCACGATAATAACGCCATCGACATATCTCACACTATATGGACACGACCTCAAAAGCGTTCACATTGCCGACTTATAACACTATTGGGACATGACCGTGATCATTTTTGCTTACTTTAATATTGACCGTTTTGTTTACTTGCGTGTGTGTTTACATAAGAATGTCACCAACATTTCAGCCAACGTGACGGCAGATAATACGGCTGTTTTTTTCCGACCATTGCGAGACTTGGGCATTATGCAGACATTGCACATTTTACTTTCAAAGCCAGAGAGTCCATTCTATTTGTTTTGGTTCTGTGGTTTTATTTAATATATTTATTTAGGATGTTTTAATATGTTCACATTCCAATTACACTGTCTGAATATTCCTAAAAATGAAGAGTGCTCATTGAAAGAGTGTTCTTGCATTATTACGCTAAATCATCATTATATCAGTGGCAACAATGATATTGTTTTATTGCAATTATTTTAGACAATACGATAGCGGCATCTTACTCTGACACTTGAAATATATTCAGTGTAGACTAAAAATCGCAGTTCAGATTCTTATATCTCTGAAATGTAACATTGAAGCGCCAATATATCGGTGAGGTCCTGGTTTGAATGTTCAGGCCATTTTCATGCTGTCGCCTCCCATCCGTCTGTCCATCCATGCATGCATCTGTCTTTCCACTGGCTGTGTGACAGTGGGAGTCAGAGCACATTACCATCTCTCCACAGCCAACTTGTCACGGCTGATGTGAACTCATCAACCGCCTCGACTCTCAGTGCAGCAGCACCACCGGGCACTTACGCTGCAGCAGCAGAGCTGGATCAGTGGGGTTAGGCTATTTCTGGAAGCATCGCTGGTCCGGTTGGCTCCGAGAGGTTTGTGTTTGTGTGGCGGGAGCTGCCATTACTGTAAATCCACTGACTTTGCTTTGTAGCAGATGTCTGCTGCAATTATATGTTCCTTCTATGTTCATGTCCAACAGCGTGACCTGCATATACACCAAAGAATGACAAGGAGTACCAACGATATATCTGTTAACATACAGAGAGCAATATTATCTACAAAATCAAACTTAGTTTTTATTTTTCAGTTACAATTATGAGCTAGTTTGTATTGGGAAAATACAGAAGAAGAAATTTGTTTTGTATATGAAACATTCATATTTAATGTGTGTAACATTCTATTTGAATACTTGAAGGTGGCTCTGACTCTTATTATTGACCCTGTTGTCAACATGAGACCAGGTTGTATTTATGATGTTTTACGACATGTGTCGTGTGTGATGAAGCTTAGATGCCTTACTTTATAGTTGCCCTCACTGTTTCTGACCCCATAAATGCTTGGTTTCCTCCTCTTTGTTTCCTGCTTTAAATTACTAATTTATCTCTTAAACTTGTGTGTGTCTGTCTCTTGGCACACGCATACTAACCGGCAGTTTTCATGACTGAAAAGGTATCAAAACATCTGTATGAACTTCCATGAGCTCCATCTGTCTGAGGAATTCAACATCAGACCTGAATAAATAGCTGAATAATTGGACAGCTTTACATGAATGTCTAAACCATATATAACCTCACCACAACAGCTCTCAGTGACTCCCAAACAGCTCTGAGTGCTGATGCATGGAGACAGATGTGCTATTGAAGTGCGTGTGGAGGACGAGGGTATGTGAAGCCATACAATATTAATGAATACAACATTTCCAGGCTGATATACAACCCAGATTCATTAGCCTCGAGAGGAGTGTATTACCCGCTAGCGAGCACCGACTTTATCTTCTTCCTTTGTGATACATTTAGACTCTGAAAGGTGAGTCATACAGATATAACTCTCAGTAAGAAATGTTTTGTGTTTCTGTAGGAGCGTAGGGGAGAACTTTTTTGTTTTGTTTTGAAGAGTTTTAGCAGCTTCTTTTTTTGGCACTGCCGTCTTGGAGCAGATGGTTGTGCCTGTAGTCAAGACTGAGGTGACAACACTAGAATTAATGCTAAGTTGTGTCACTTCCTACGCACAAGTAAGACTGTATGTATGAGATGGTGGAAGATCTTGTGTCACATGCGTGTATCTGCATTCTTGGTTGTGTTGACGAATGTCATCTATCCAAACAACCTCTAAATTGTATTGTGCACAATTTAAATTGAGTTGTCCTAAATGATGACCATGACATGCATGTTTAAATACAGGCCACGCATGTATAGTTTCATCACCTAAAAAGGCCAAATCATTTTCAAGAACAGCTGGGCATTGTAGTTTTTACCAGAAAATTGTCAACGAGGATTAAATGGTACATTCTTTTGGGACTATTTTCAGCTGCGGATGAATACACATTTGTTGCACTACTTTATATTTATCCATGGAAATTGATTCTAAATACACTGCAGTGCCCATGTTCTTTTAAATGAAGAAACATATCACCCATGTTATGAGAAAACCCCAAATACCACCAACTTATTCCTTTAAAAGGACATGTAATTACCCACTGAAGTTATTGTTCCTTAAAGTGAATGATTCAAAATAGGCAGAAATAGAAAAGCAAACATCAGTAAATCCTGCCAAAGTACAGTTAGAGTTAAATGGATGGTTTCTTTAGTTTATTTTATATTAAATGATATATTGTAACTTACTCACTGGTAGTGATATTGATTTCCTAGCCGTTGCATTGTAGCATATTATATTGTCTGGTAAGGCTGGCTGAGAGATTCAGTTACAGGACTCATTGTTGCTACCTGAGTAACTAGTAACATATTATGTAAAATAATCCAATCCATCTCTTTAAACCAGTGGCTCGCTGATGAGTTGAGTAATGTGACTGTTGATGATGTATTTGAATGATGCAACTCACTGTTGTCCCCCAGGTGATGTCCCAAGCAGAGGGCCAGCAGAAGAACCTGGTCCAGTCCATTGACTCTCTGCCCACCAGAGGCCCTCTCTCCTGTCTGGACCAGGACCTGCTGCTGCTCAAGGCCACGTCGGCCGCCACACTCAGCTGCCTGGGAGAGTGCCTGAACATCCTCCAACAGTCCCAGAGCCACAGCCAGGGGCCACCTCAGTCCCACGCCTCCCAGTGCAACTACGCCGCCCATGAAGCCCCCTCCGGTGAGTCCGCCCCTGGCCCCATTCCAGTGCTGCTACTGGAGCCCCCAATCCCTCCATCTCCCCCATCCCTCTTGTCTTTCCAGTCCCCTCCTCCAGAGCCCAGCCCCAGCATTCTGGGGCAGCTGGACTGTGGCTCTTGTCCCTGCCTGATGGATACCATGAACTTCAATGTTTGTAGTAAATGTTGTTGAACGTTGCATTTGTTTCGTTCCATTTCTGTTTTTTGTCTTAGTTTGTAGTTATCAGTGTTGTTCTTTGCTGTTTTCAATTAATTATTGTGACTCTTCAATCTCGTTAATTGCGTTGGAATGACAATAGTTCCTTAAAATGGTCGTGCCAAGAACAAGCATGAATGTGAAGTGTGTAAGAACACGGTTTTATTGTCGGTACTCTTTACAGAATCCGTGAAAGCATTTCAGACTGTCTTCCTACATGCATGTCAGACAATAATCAGTTTATGTGCGAGTGAGTAAACCTAAATACTATGACTAATACTATGCACTTTTAAATCTCCTCAAAGGATTAACTCTTTGCCAAAGGAATCCACACTGGTGCCTAAAATGTCAGACCTCTGCCATGTTTAATCCGCTCTGTGCCAGATCACTATGGATCCAATAAAGTTTTTTCTATTCAAACCATTTTCAGCCTGAGGGTGGTTCTATCGGCATAAAAGCAAGTAGTAGGGAACAGTGCCTTGGGTGGAATTAAGACCCCAAATGCAGAACAAATGGTCTCTGTTAAGATTATGTCAAATCCTTCAAAAGTTGTAGACAGATCAGATTTTCCCAAGTTCAGAGGAATATTTATGATCCATTTACAGTTTTCAAGTTGCTGTAGAGCAACACCATAACTGTGTTCTCCAATAAAAAGAAGTAGAGCTGATTTAAAGAAATACTCCACTGAAACTGTATTGAGCACCAAACACTCGCTGTCTGTAGGACTGAAAGGTGGCTGGTGAAAATGTGTAACTTGCTCCTTTTTTGGAAGATGTAGTCAGTTTGGATTCACAGCAGTTACAATGGATCTGACTCATAACTCAAGGCCAAAAATGTTGCCCATAGAAATGTCTCAAACACTTGCAAAGTAAACCACTTATCTGCTGTTGACAAAACGATCCCACCTCAAAGTCCATTCAGTAGCTTTGCTGGACTTTTTCATGGAATTGTGTTTAAAATGGACTTACTGTACAAACTTAATGGTACTAAATGGCTAATAAAGCGTTAAATGTGCTACTTCTAAATTGGTAGAAGTGGATTCTACTGTAGGAGTTGTTTGAGATGTTTCTGTGGATGTTTCGTCTTGGGAACGCCTTTGGATGCCCGAGGAAGAGCTGGAGGATGAGGCTAGGGAGAGGAATGTATGGGATACTTTACAGCGTAAAGTGGATGAATGGTTTTTGATGCATGCTTTTGTTCTGACTTCAAAGTCCCTGTTGTAAATCCAAACTAACAACAGTTGCCACCTTTAAAGCCCTACAGGTGCACATTTTTGGTCGAGTATTTAAGCCAAAAAGATGTGGTCCACCTCCATTTATGACTTTTGGAAAGTCTTTGTGGGTCTGGGTTTGGGGCGGGTGCCGGATCCCCGCCAATCCGCTGGTCCTCACAGTTTGTCGGTCTTCTCTTTGCGCCAACAGCCATGCTGCCCTGTACCTGTTCATCAGACAGGGGGTGGTGTGGAGTGGGACCACCGGGCCGCAAGTACAAACCTCTTTCCTTCCGCTGCCTGGCTGATCAGTCCTGTGGGGGTCCAGCTGCTCCCCGCTTCCGGCATGTACCCCCCACACCTCAGTGAGGAGTTTTTTTGTTAGGATCCTTGGTGTTGCCACTGATGGGTAGTGTGGCCCACCGGCATGAGCAGCATCCAGATTTGGTACAGCTGATGAAGGGAGTGGCTGGCCAGTCGGTTGGTTGGTTGAATGGTTTTGTTACGCCCACACAGGAAAGCTTTGCCACTGCATGGGCAAGATACCTCTTTGGTAGAGAGCCGAGCATGAGGTTGGACTGAGTTTGGCTGGCACGTTAGTCCCTCCAGGCTCCTATTACTACAAAACCAGAGCAGCTGGTCTGAGTCAACTCCAGCAATTGCAAAGAAAGTCAAAGAACTTGAAGGATCTTTGTAAACTCCCACCAACAACCGGCCAGTCACAAACCAGACAGCATATTATCAGCTGATCACGGAGGATCTTCACTGGTCGCTCTAACTCCCCTGTGTCACTGCAATAAAGAGCTTGAAGCCCAACCCTCTCTCTTTCACACCGCACGCAGAACATTTTCCTTTAAGGAAATTAAAATCCATAAAGGAAATTGACTTTGCAAACTAGCCCCCCCCCCCCCCTGCAGTTAAAGATCATTTTTTTGAACAGAAAGCGAAAGGTACAAGAAGAACATTTAGGGTAAGAGTTGGATGTGAAAGCATCACAAAATCTATCGATGTCACAGCCCAGAAATGGAAGGTAGAGCCATTGGAGAAATCTATTGCATGAATGTTTGTCTCTCCGCTGTTCGATCGGCGACGGCCATTTGATTCACCTGCATGTCTCTATCCAATGGCCCAGACATCAATGGCTCCACTGAGTGTTTCTGCTTCTGGTGCTTTATTGTGACATCTCAGAGAAAGCGTCAAAGTATGCCATAAATTGTTTGTAAACCAGCTTCTTGTAAATACTTGAACATTTTCCAGAAATGTTTCCCCTAAAAAAAAAAAAAAACCCATCTTGAAATGAACTCCCAGGATCCTATTAACCTCCAAATGTCTTGAGAATAACCTTCTCAAAAAATTCAGTTCTCACTATAGTTACAACTCATTCACACTTCACTCGCCTTCGGGCAGGGGCACCCCTGCTCCTGTGTCCATTGTATACGAGTCCAGTATTGTCGGAGGAGGTCCACGAACACTTTCCAGGTTCCTGTCAGTCAAACTGTCAAAGCAGAGACCCGGCCTGAGGGCTATTTCCGCTCATTTTGTCGAGACAGACTC